CTAGTGACAGGTTCCAGAACATCTTATTTTAAATAGCAACAGCCCCCACCTCAACATGATTTTGTTTTCCTGCTTTATTTTTCTCCACTGCTTATGATTTCACCTGACATTGCTTGTATTTTATTTCTTTACTTGTGCATTGTCTCTCTCCCCCTGTAAAAATGTCAGTTCTACAAGGACAGAGATTATAGGTTGATGTATTCACTGCTACATCTCTAGCATCCAGAGCTTGGATCACAATAAATAATAAGTTTCTGAAGGACGAATAACAATCTGAATTTACAAATGAAAATGTAGGTACAAATAATTAATTTTACATTATCTTAAGCAATATATGAACAGTTGTTTACTACCCCTTACAATTTACACACTGCTACCACGAACATTCTCTTATTGAGTCTTGTAAAAGACATGGTTGGTGGGCAGGAACAAATAATTACTGCCATTTTGCTAAGAGTAAAACTGAGCATGAGTGAAATAAAATGAAATTTTTAAAAAATGAAGTGAGGGCATGCAAAAAATTGAAACTAGACCACAACCTCTCACAGTGCACAAAAATCAACTCAAAATGGATAAGAGAACTGGACATAAGACCTGAAACCATAAAATATATAGAAGAAAATATAAGTAAAACACTACAAGACATACACTGCAATAACATCTTTAAAGACTCATCACCCAAAGCAAATATAGTCAAGGAAAAGATAAACCCCCGGGATTACATCAACTTGAAAAGCTTCTGTACAGCAAAAGAAACATTAACCAAAACAAAGAGACACCCCACTGATTGGGAAAAAAGTCCTTGCACTCCATTCAACTGTTAAGGGACTGATCACAAAGATATACAAAGAACTCACACAACTCAACAAAACCAAAATAAACAATCCAGTCAAAAAACGGGCAGCAGAGCTTAATAAAGACATTTCTCCAAAGGGGAAATGCAAATGGCCAACAGGCATATGAAAAAATGTTCAACATCCCTTATAATCAGGGAAATGCAAATCAAAACCACAATGAGATACCACCTTACACCAGTTAGAATGGCACATATCAAAAAAACAAGCAACAACAAATATTGGCGAGGATATGGTGAAAAAGAAACTCTTCTACATTCTGGTGGGAATGCAAACTGGTCCAACCACTATGGAAAGCTGTCTGGAGGTTCCTCAGTCTACTAAAAATGGAGCTACCATAAGACCGGCAATTCTACTCCTAAGGATCTACCCAGAGGACACAAAAACATTGATTCAAAAGACCACCTATACCCCTATGTTTATTGCAGCACTATTTACAATATGTAAAACCTGGAAACACCCCAAATGCCCAAAAATAGATGACTGGATCAAGAAGGTGTGATACATATACACAATGAAATATTATTCAGCAATGAATAAAGATAAACTCATGCCATGTGCAGCAACATGGATGGAACTAGAAGGAATTATGCTTAGTGAAATAAGCCAGAAGGAAAAAGAAAAATATCGGATGGTTTCACTTATAGCAGGAATATAGGGGAATCCAATAAGACATTGGTGTAAAAAAAATAGTAACAGTTCAAAACACAACAAAGCAAAAAAACGGACAATTATAAATCGGAGACATCCTGCAGGAGAGGAGGGGGGAGAGGGATCAGAGAGAGGGAGGAAGGAGCACAGGGGACTGAGGTGATGGTGTATGGGTGCACTGGTGAAGGAAACTCTATGGGGACTACACCTGAGGGGGTGGGGGGAAACAAATATTGTTTAAAAACGAACAATGATAAAAAAAATTTAAAAATTTTTTAAAAATGAAGTGAGGACGGGGCTAGGTCCACTGTTCTTTCCAGTATCCTAGACTGCCTTGCAATTATGTAAAAATCATGCTATAGTCCTTTTTTTTTTTAAGATTTATTTTTTATACATGCACTGGGTACAGTCAGAAGCGCAGGAGGGTGAGAGAATTCACCAGAGCCAGAGCAGGGAGCAGAACAGGCAGACTGATGAAGTACACTGCTAAGGGGAGCAGTGTGCATGGCAGGAGACGTCTGCACGCCATGTGGGATCCTCGCCAGCGGCCGGGGATTGAACAGGCGCTGCAGAGGCTGCGGGCAGCTTCGCAGCCCAGCACTCAACTGCTGTGCCACTGGGGAGGCCCTCTATATTCCATTTTAATAATTAACTGACCCATAAAACACAATGTCCATTTCTTCCAACTTAAAGTCGGTAAGTGCAATAATTTGATGATAACTTAATATAACCTTATTTATAATTTTACATCTAGGTATGTAAGAGAGTAAGGGGACAAGGTATGTAGAATGTTACCTTTTGTATTTTAACAATACATTTTTGCTTTTTAGTAGTAGTTTCTTAAAATACAACAGGTAGCAAAATGCATTAATTGTGAAACCAGCATCTGAATTCTAAGGTCTGCTACTAGGGCATACAGCTGGGGACCAAGCAGGTGAAGAATGCTTAATCACTATTCAGTTAACAAGAAAAAATAAAATCTACTTTATTACTAGATAAATACCAAATTCTGTTTTTGAAAAAAAATGGCTCTCAAAATGTGCATGAATTATCAAAATATGTATGAATTATTATCTGTGCTTGTTGGCATGCTGTGACCCCAATCACTGCTGACAGACACACCTGGATCCTTCCCCTTCCTATGTAATGTAAATGTGACAATCACCACAGCATATTCACATTCCATATTTTACAACACCAAGGTATTTTGCACAAAGTATTGCCTACTTTTGGGATGTCACTATTTTGACCTGGCAAACATTCTTCTGGTCATTTTAAAAAATGGTTTTGTCTACTTCACAGTAACTTTCCTCGTTCACTCAAACCATATTTGTCCCTCTGGGTTTCTACTCATCTTGCTTTGTATCATAGTCAAATATACATTTCTTATCAACCAAAACTCTCCATCCCCCTTAATATCCATTTTCCTCCCTCTCCCTCCCCACACCTCCAAATTTCCTTTAAGGACCAGGTCAGGGTAGAATCTTGGTTAGCTCAGAACACTGATGATTTTTTTTAAGTGAAAAAAAATTTTTTCTTTTACAAATTATAAATAAGTTTATATTAAGTTATCATCAAATTATTGCACTTACCCCAAAACACTTACCCTAACTGCAAGGCAATTAGCTATTCCTTCCAGTGGTGCTCGAGGACACAAGAGGGGCCCTGTTCCCACTATAACTCAACCTCCATTTCCCTCAATTGTACACTTCACAAGGAGTCTATTTGACAATTGCTTCTTTTCTGCTTATTGGATTTATATGTAACTGATGCATTTTGTTGTACCTTTCTTAAATAGGTAGCCTAAGGTAACATAACAAAAATAACCAGTAACAAAACTTTTAGCTAACTCTGGCCATTGGTTTATGGTCTTAAAAGAGCTTCTCAAAGTTAAGCTGAGGTTGACTCCTCAACATGTATCTTGCCCTTCCTCTAATCTTAGAGGGGCAATGTCCCTTCAGGAACTGATTCCAGGCCTATGTGAAGACATCAGAGTCCTCTTATCCTCCTTACCAGCAACTGGTCAGGAACTCAGGCCTAAACAATCAGAACATTTCAATCCAAGGTGACAGTATTACGTATAAGCCTAAACTGGTCCAGAGAAACATAAGAAGAGAACTTTCATTCTCTGTCTGGGATGAAGTCAGCTTTCTTTCAGTCTCCCTCAATATCCCCACCCACACTCCTACCCTCCCCCAACTAGCTGAGCAAATCATATGGCCCAGACTGCTACTGGTGCTCTTTCAGAAATAGTTCAGAGATGACAATGACAACATGATTGCAAAGGGATGAGACAGGAAGAATCAACCAACCCTGAAGCCCTTCCCACCTTCCCACTGTGAGCCAATAAATTTCCTTAATGGTTAAGTTGGAGTTTGGTATTTTGATACAGTTGAAAGCATCCTGACTTACAAATTTAGTGGAATTCTCTGCAAGTTAAAATATCTGTTGGAACCATTTCCACACCATGCCTTAATTCAAAGCCATATAAAAAACTTAATTTTATATGATACTGATTATCAGTCAAAAACAAAAATGCAATTAATTTTAGTCTAGTTATGTAACAAAGCAAGATATGATATATCAATATGAAATAGCACCACATTCTATAACTCAAAGATGTAGTCAAAAACAGTCGGTCAGGACCAACATAGATGTGTCATACTGAGGCTTGCACAATAAATGGACTGGCTGCAAAACTGTTCCTTTAAACAGTGTTTGTACTGGCTGGTGTGACATCTATACTGTAAACAGTGCCTACATCTTCACCTAGTGACAAAAGCAGAAAAGCAGATTTGCACTCACCTGTGAATAAAACATGGAATTATGACTTAGGTCCTGAGGGTACTAGGTTAAGGAAAAAAATGGACGTTGACTCTTAAAACCATGCTTTAACTCCTCTCTATACTACTATCTCCAATTCATCCTGAGTCCAAGAAAGAGACAAAGAGCCATTTTGCAGGCTCAGATACAAGCATTCCTGTTAAATTCCAAAAGATACCTTTCTATGTGACTTCATCTTCCTCTGTGTAAGCAAAGAGTTACACATGTTCTTTTCTAAGGCCTCTTTCTTTCTGTTCTGCAATGTTAGGTCACATAACTAATCAAAGATTCTGTGTTCTATTGTACGCATGAGGACTCCTATCTTAAATTTGGCCTACTAATCTCAGTACTTATTCATAAATATTTATTAGGTGTCTATTGCGTCAGGCAGCGTGCTTGGCGCTGAAGAAATAAAGAAATAAAACATAATTTGTACAAGACGGTAATGATAAATAGATCCTTGCCTTTAAAACAATCCGTGAAAACACTTTACAAAATGTGTAAAACTGAACCTTCAATTTTTATGAAGTAGCTCATCTTTATTTTGATAGAGGGAAAAGAGTTGTGACTTTTTTTTTAACTTAATATACTTCAAAAAGAAGCAACTAATGAACAGAAAGTTTGGATTTATATTCTAGAACCTAATGTGAACAAACTTTCTATTTTTTTTAGATTATAAAGGCTCTGAGAAAGAGAGTGAGAGAAATGCACAACCCAGAAATGAAGTGACCTGAACTCCATCTCCTGGAAATAAATGTTGATTATTAATGGTATTTTGTAATGTGTTCTATAGGCTTTGTCCCCAAGCATATACCAATACTACAAAGCATATTTACGGTAATGTGTAGTTAAATGTTTTTAACTACTGCATTTCTATATAATTTATTACTGCTCTATTGTGAAATTATTTTAAAACTGATTGTATATAACTTGTACAGAGATAAAAAATAAGGAAAAATAAAATCTTTTTTTAAAATAGGATCCTTACCTTTGGAATTACAGACCTGTGGAAAGGCTGCTATAAGTATAAAAATCTTTGTAAACTAAATTAAATCCAAACACTTTATAAGATATCTAAGCATTAATTCCCACTTTTCAAAGGTGAAAGTAATGAATAGGAATCATGATCTTTTAAGTGCCAGATGAATTTTAGAACTAGAAGGAACCTATGCCTCAAATCAAAATAAGATGTTCTAAGTGGGTAATGAGGAGGTATTTCCAAAAATCAATTTTAAAAGATTGTGCTTCTAAGCCTGCCAAAACCTCAGACTCATAATTTTCATCCTAGTTTTTCCTTGCTATTTCTGCCAATGAAGCATGAGATAGTAAGAAACCCTTTCTGCCTGTGATGATCAATTTTATAGCACCTTAACCTGGAAGTTTTTTCTAGTTACTCCTAAATTAGTTTGTTATCTTTTATTGAACAGAAAATATGTCATTTATAAATTCTGAATCTTTGATGGTCTTACTCCTCAAAAGTGCGTTCTGTTTCCTCAAACTTTCATGAGGCTACCAATATTTTTCACTTACCCCCAATGAGCATCTTATAACTGCTGATTTAAAAATAATAGTAACATTTGACAAGTTAAATGTCTTTAACCCACTATCTAAAAAATAGTATTTGACAAGTTAAATGTCTTTAACCACAATCTGAAAATTCCTCTATGAGTACAATTTTACTCTTTCTTTCCCAAAGTAGCTTTTAAAAGCCCTAAGCTTTCACAGCTATTTGGATCTTTTGATTTAGAGATTAAGAGTGATTTATAAATAAGCCAAAATGTGTAGACTCTGAACATTAACACTATTGTGATTTGGAGTACATCTTATCTTCACTTTTCCCAACTCTTTCTCTCCAAACACACACAAAGTAGTCACAAAACTATCTTGTTCCAGAGTCTTATTAAGGATTTAAAACTATCATTAGCTTTATTACAGGTTAAGACATATCGCTGATTCACTGAATATGTCAACTAAAAATTGTGTCATCTGTCTCAATTTTCTATTTTTACAGCTGGATCTTCAAGCATAAATTCATCTTTTGCCCAAGTAAATCTTATTCTGGTCACGGCCCAGATCACCAGAATACAGGTGTATCCTGTTTCTCCTACCCACTACAGGTATGATCCCTCCTACTTTGTATCATTTCAAACTGTATCTTCATTCTAGTCAAGGACAAAATTTGAAAGAAACAGAGCCAAGGATAGACATCTATAGAATGATCCCAGAAGACTATACAGTGTAAAACAAATTTTCTTTAACGAGGACCTTAGAAAGCTATAAAATTAATTATACATCTTGACAATCACAGTGGTACCTAACGTATATTTTTCTATTTGTTTACAAAAGGATCACAGGGGACCGGGCCAGAGATCTGGCTGAAGTGCAAATGAATTGTGTCCATGACATGCCTCTAAATTAAACTCTCAGTACTTTTGCTGAAAGATGGAATTAGTGAATTCAAACTGACTTTCTGTAAGTATTGTACTTACTTTTCTCATTTGTTCTGCACATACTATTCAGAACCCAAGTAGAGGTTACAAAATCTATTTACATTGTTTTTATTAAAGCCAAAGCATGCTCTCCCAAGATGACAATGAGTCTGTAATCCATTTGCATCAGTGGCCAAGAATCCCATTTCTAGGTTCCCTTAGAATCTATTCTTCTACCTTGAGCCTATATTCCATCTGCCAAATATCATATTCCACTGTTTATTCAGAAAATCATTTTTTTCTTTACAGACAGATCAAATGCAAAAATAGAATTAATGAATTTTGCATTCTGTGTCACCCAGCAGGATACTAACCATTATGTGCAATAATCACCATTCTCAGAATAAAACTTATTACAAAAGTCCTAACATTTTTAATTTTTGACATTTGTTAGTACTAGCTCTTTTTCCAGCTAGACTGAATAAGCCTCCCAGTATCTAAAAGTCCAAGCTTAAATCAAGCAAGCTTTCTGTTGTCAGGCAGACCATGCTAGTGTAATATAGAAGGCTAGTTTGAATGCCAAGATTCTGTCTAGTCCTCAGGAATTGGTGTTCTGGCCAATAAGTATACAGTCAGTCGCTACCAAAATTTCTGTCGTCGTTTTAAAGGAGGCAGACAAAAGAACAACCCCCTACGATCAGATAACTAGAGACACTGGCCAAGAAGTGGTGCCATCTGCTAGTCTGGGTAGAAGCGAGGTCGAAGAGATAAAAGGTTGGAAATGGGGCAGGAGGGACTTGTTTAGTCATCTGCTCTAATTATTATCATCCTGTTCTGTGTTCAATAATTTAAGAGAATGCAAGACACATATATATGTTCAAATAAAAAGTTGAAGGAAGAAGAGTGTTTTAATATTCCTCTCTCCCTCCTCTTCATTTCAAACAATTTCCATAAAACTTCCAGATGAAGGAGAAGGCAAACATTCCCCTCTGAGATGAGGGACTATGAAGGTATTTTCTAGTGTTCACTAGATCTAGATGTCCTACTGCTGATATTTTAGTTTGGAAAATAAATTTAATGTATACAACTGTACACACCTGATATTTTAACCCTAATGGCTTGACTTAGCTTTTTACAAGAATATTTAAATATTCGAATAGAGGACCAGTAAATGATATGTAAGCATAGCATTATCTGAGCACTATCTGAGGAGGGCCCTGTGATATGGGATATGAAGCTCTTTTTGATCCCACCATTGTCCACCTCTTCTGACTAATTCCTGCCATCCTGTCCTTTTCAAATTATACTGCAGTCATTCTATTCATTTGTAGTTCCCTGTTTATACAAACTGAAACATGCTTCTTTGTACAGCTAGTCCTATTACAAAGTTTATTTTGGAAATATGAATTTGCTTCAATGCAACTGATACATATATTCAAACTGGAAAGTTTGAATATAATATGAATTTTGCATTTGCTTGTGTGTAATCTCACATGCAAGAAATACTGGGTGAACTCAGAATACTGCACCCCAGTAGAAAAGAGCTGTGTGGGGATGTAAGACCTCAAATGTTGACCAGTTACATAGTCTACTGTGTGCATTATGAGTCACTCCCATCAACATCTTGTGTTAACAACTTCCCACCCTTTTCAGATAACCCTGCTTCCACTACTCTACAATAACTTGCAAGTCGCAACCCCTCCAACACCCACTTATACAAGCAATATTCAGGTATTTGCTAACATAAAATGGCATTTTAACATAGTTTTCTGTTACCATTTAACATGTGAAAAACTGTACTATTCCACTCATAAGGTTTCATATTTTACAAATCAGACCTACAACAGTCACATCTTGCTCCAGAAAAATATTAAAGATGCCATTACTACTAAGAGTTGCTGTTATTTACTGAGTGGCAGGCTCTCAATAAACACGGAAGAAGGATGGGAGAAATTAAATTAAACAACTTACACTCTTTTGAAGTAGATTTTGAAAGAAAGTAGTAACTCATTCACACACTACCTCAGATTTTAACATATAATATCCTTTTTTATCTGTTCTTCTCCATGGATGAATTTAGTAAGGAGGAAAAAATAATACCTTTGTTTTACAATTGTAGAAACAAAAGCCTGACCACAGTAACCTTTTCCCCAAAGTCCCACAAGTAATTATAGTACAAGTGAACCTCTAATCCATGTCTTCCAATGTGGACACAATTCATTTCCACATACTGACCAATCAGTAAAAAAAGATAATGATGAGAAAATTATGGGGTGTTCAGATTTTATCTGTTTAGAGTTCAGATACAACTTATTTTTAGTATACATATACATGTATATATACATAAAAGTCCCCTCCCTTTTCCCTCAAGTGCCAGTAATATAATCAAATCCACCCATCGCAGATTATAATTTGGTATGACCTTTATCCTGATTCATGAGGCTATAAATTCATATTACAGAGGAAACAGGTGTGAGCAGGCATAGCAGAGATAGATTACAGAGCTCAGTCCTCCTTGCAAGGCCTCACATCCTCCAGATATGTGACAGTGGAGTTGCTTTCTGTGTAAGTGCATTCCCTCAGGTAACTCCATGGCTTACTTCCTTACCTCTAGCAACTATTTGCTTAAAAGGCATCTTCTTAGTGAGGTGTATCCTGATGACCTCATTAAAAAATTCACTATTCTCCAACTACATGCCTTCTTTATCTCAATTTCTCCTTCCAAAAAATACCTTAAGATTTATGTATTTTTGGGCCTCCCCGGTGGCGCAGCGGTTGAGTGCTGGGTTGCAAAGCTGCCCGCAGCCTCTGCAGCACCGGTTCGATCCCCAGCCAATGGGCAAGGGTCCCTCATGGCATGCAGACCTCTCCTGCCGCCCACTGCTCCCCTCACCAGTGTATTTTGTCAGTCTGCCTGTTTTGCTCTCCCTTCTGGCTCTGGTGAATTCTCTCATCCTCCCGTGCTTCTGACTGTACCCAGTGCTTGTATAAATAAATAAATATTAAAAAAATGTTTTATGTATTTTCTATTTTGCTATATTACCCATTAGAATTTAAGCTCCATGGGAGATTAAATTTGGTTTCCATGCTGTCACTCCAATACTTAGAACAGTGCCTGACATTTGGTAGGAGTTCACATACATCTGTTGAACAAATGAATTCGTGCATGCACACATGGCGCTTGGAGCCATCATAAGGATGAAGTTAATAATTTCAAATGCATGGAACCAGGCACCTTTAAGCAACTTCCTTAAATACCTGAAAACTAAGAAAAATTCAGTAATGACCACATGCACATGCGGTCCATTCAAGAGGCTAGGCACAGGTACTTTCCTGAGTAATCTTTGACTTACAAAAGTATTGTTTTTAATGTGAGTGTTAAGTATACTTAGTTGAGGTAGGTTTGCTCCACATCATCTTAGTTTCTATAGGGAAAAAATAGCCAAATCACTTCACTGCAATAAGAGCCCCTGCAACAAAGTCCCAAGGTGTGGGAAGCAGAGGGAACTGGGTGCATTCAAAAAGAATCCACAACTGAGACAGCAGGATTTATAAACACCAAAGTGTTTCACCACAAAATCTCTAAAAATGACAGGATATTAAATTGTTTCTGCCCTCCAATTCACTCAAAGCCCACCCAGATCTACAAGTGAGTAATAAAGCATAAGTGCTAAACACATTCTCCCCACTGGCTTAACAAAATGAACTTACACTATCTGTCTGTAGGTGTCTATACACAAAAGGACTTAGCACATAAATACATAGTTCCAAGGCATACTGAGTTTAATTTCATGTCAAAACCAACATTTCATATATAGTTACCACCCAAACGAATAGGTATGCGCATACCCAAGTAGATGCAAATACTATCCACAGTGCTTGATTACAAGATTTAAAAGAACAAGTAACTCTGATTTTTATATAAGTACCTCACAACTCTCTAAATCTCTAATTTCTCACCTGAAGATAGGGATAATGCCAGCTGCGCCTAACAAGGTTATTATAAGGATTAAAAGAACTAAGCCAGGGGGGCGGAGCAACATGGCAGCGAGGAGACACTGCGAGTAAGATCTCCCATTAAAAAAAGTTAATAGGGAGGAAAAGCGGCAGGTCCCAGTGAGAACTGGGACACGGAAGATAAACGGGTGACGCCAGCAAACTGCCCTAAGAAGAAAGTGGCCATAAAAGAGGACCAGAAGGGAGGGAAGCGCAGAACCCTGCTCCCCTCCCCCGCCCACAGAGGCGGCACTCTCCAACCGGCAGAGAGGAGGAAAACAACAAACTAAAACGACCATCAAGAACAAACGACGCAGCAAGCGGGACTGTGAGTGGAAAGGAACCATTGCAGCCACCACACCCCGTGAACGGGAGCTGTGGAGAACCCTGCAGGATCCATGCTCCGGGGCCATTGAAGAGAGACCCCGCCCAGGAGGAGACCAGCACCAGCACACAGCCCCGGGCTGCCCGGTAAGCTTGCACGGAAAAGCGGCGCGCTGGAAAAGCAGGCGCGGAGCGCAGTCAGGATTGCGCGGAAAAGCAGCCTGCTGGAAAACCAAGTGCGGATCGGAATCGGGATCGCGCGCGCGGAAAAGCAGTGCAGTTGAAAAGCAAACGCGGATCCAGATTGCAGCTGCCCAGGTCCCTGCGCCTGTGACCTAGACTTGCGGGGAGACGCGCAGAGGCCCTCACTGAGTGAGCAGGAACCAGGCGCCCAGCGGGATTCAAAAGGCGCCATTCCCGCGCCACTGAACTGGGCTACAGCCTGAGTCCTGGAACTGAGGGCTTTGGAACTGACACCCGGGACACGAAATTAGGGGCGTGGGTTCCCCACGACGGTGGGGCACAAGGCAGACACAGCACCCCAAAGCCTTTGAGGTTTACCCTACCATTCCCGCTCTATTCCCTGTCCCACGGGGTGGAAAATCAGCTCCCCAAGGGCTCCAGGAGAGATCTCTGGCGCCACCTAGCGACTTGAAGCTAGCAGAGGCGCCTAGAGGAGCCAGTGGCCAGCTGGGGAGTTAGCCCATGCCGGGCCCC